TTGCACCACTTCCTTTTGATTACTGTGAATGTGTGAAATTGGTAGTTCTCTGTGCTTTTGGTGTTGATGCAGTGGTTGAGATAAGACAAGCTGGATATAAAGCCTCAGCTTCACCACCCCACCAGCTTCAAATCAAGTTTTAGCACCTGCATGATTGTTTGGTCATGTTAATACATGAATATCTTACAAAACAACAAAATAGTTTTTAGATTCTAGGAGCTTTACAGGGACAAAAGTGTTTTTCATGTCTTTATCATACGTCTGGGTTTTTCAGTGACTGCTTTGTTTAAGCAGGAGAAATGGATCATGACAACAACATTTCACCATTCATGTTTTTACAAAAAATGAGATGAAGCAAAAAATGTGAAGAAAGATATATTATATTTCCTATGAACAAAACAGCTGACATGCTATGAATTGCAGAGAAAGGTTAATAATATGTAACACCACTCATGTATTTTTGTCAGTTTAGGGTATTAATATAAAAAATATTGATTTTGTAATTAAAACACTAATGAGTGATGATGAATAATATCAATAACATACAAATCAGAATCAACTTTATTGTCTTTGTACAGTTAAGTACAGTAAAATTTACTTCTGTACAGCCGTCTGAAGGATTGACGGAAGTGTACCTGGGCTGCGGCTCCCTATGAGCACTGCCCTTATCAATTAGACAAGAGAAGAAAACATGAGGAGACAAGGTATTAAAAAAAACATCTCTCGCACCATGCCCTTGACACAGGGCACAGTGTAAGGTAGCAAAAGAAATCTATCTCAGTAAGCAACAGAGAGGCATAATGCATTTTGCAAGGGGGGTGGGGTGGGGGGTGGGGGGTATGACAAGATGGTGAGATTGTCCATGAACACTTCTAGATAGTCTCCATAGTCCTGTTAAAAATGCTACAGTGTCTCTCAGCCGGTCCACTCTGATAAAGGTCCACATATATTCTCGGGGTGGGGGAGGTGGTGTAGGAGGGAATCAGAGCATCTTGTTTCCATAACATCCAAGGAGAAATTGAGATAGTCAGCCTTCCAAGGCCAGAGCCAGATTCAGATTACAACATTGTTTTGGATCAGGCCGAGCTCTTTAATTTCCACGTCTGCCTTTTACAGTCTCGCTAGTAAATCTCGTGGCGACTCCAAACAGACAAATTGTGATTACTTATGCCAAAGTTGGGCTTACAACTTCTCCAAGATCTATTCCTTCCAACTGTCCGTGAACACTGCCAGAAGTTCCACAGTCCTGCCTGCTCAGCTCTGATACAGGTCCACAGATAGTCCCACACAGTCTGAGTGTTTCCAAGCCCGACACACATATTCCAGACAGCTTAAGCAGCTGCTGACTTTCCTGAATTTGTAATCCAGATTTCCACCAACTCCTAAAAGCAGAATCCAGTTATCATGAATCCAATTATGTTTCCGAGGTGTTTTCAAACTTCACCACTTGCTCTTGCCAAGGTCGGGCACATTTCCCCTCCTCTCCCTCTCCCATGTCTTTCTCTGCTGCCATTTGTGGATTTTAAGGACACATTTATAATTGGATTTACAACAACTGGTTCATGCTTTTTGGATTTGGCTGGTTTATCTACAAACAAGGAAGTCGTCGGCAGCAAATTGGGACCTGATCATGCTGCTTGCCTATATGATGGCTTGGTTTGTGCCTCGAGTACCCAGACTCAAATGCTTTGGGCAGAATGGATCAGATCTTGAGGATTTTACTCAGGCATGTTCCATTGTTGTGGCCATGTAATATGGACATTTCGGAACTGTTCGGACCAACACAGACTTAAGGTAGATGTCATTAAGTTCTGCCTGTCCCAAAACAACTGTGTTGTTTATTTGAATCTGGCTCCCCTGGATGGCCTTGAAGGCCACCTTATTTGCCTGGTTCAGGCAATGAGTTGGGAGTCTTGGTGTTCAGCCAGTTGGTGAGCAATTGGAAGACTTCTGAGGTCGGAACAGGGTCTGGCTCTGTGCGACCTCAATAGTTATGGAGTATTTCTTTGAGGAGGAGAGTGTGCTCAAAATGTCAGACTTTTGCCAAAAGTTCTGACTGGTTTACTTTATGACTGTGTCAGAGAAAAATAAAAACAGTAGTTCTGGTCGATGTTATAAACTTAGCAAAATGTTACGAAAGCCAAAAAAGCTGGAACAAAAGAACTTGGAGGAACGGCGAACAAAAATTTTAATAAAATACAAGACAGCAAAACGAAGAATAAAAAAAGAGACCAAAAGTGGTAAAAATAACAAAAACAAAAAATAAAATAAAATTAAGAGTAATACAAAGGAGTGAGCCTAGAGTGCACAGCCTTTTTAAAGTTTCATAGTGGGCATGGTTTTGGAATGGTTTGTCCAATCACAACGACTATATTTTAATAAAGGTGGGAATTTTAGTGGCGTTCAACCAATGAGAGTGTGGGTCGCAGATTATGCAGCTCACACACAGAGAGGTAAGACCCTTACTTTAAACCTTCTTCTTGCCTTAAAGTTTTAAAATAATCAAAAGAAGGAAGAACACCATGATTGTTTTAGCTTCAACATTGAATCTAATCACACTTTAACATAAATGAAATCCAGTGGTCAGTTATCAAAGAAACTCACTTCACATGCTTAATACTATTATTGAACAAATCAAGAGTTATTAATCCTATTTCACATTTAAAGCTATCTAAAGTCATACTACATGAAACAAAAGAAAAAAGAAAATATAGCTTCAACTACTAAGCATAATGAATCTGAAATAACTTGATCTATAAAAATATAAAGACATGACAAATGTGGATTCATAAAAGGCATAAATTTGAAGGGAAGAAAAACTAACATTAAACTTTGTTGAACTTAAATGGTAAATTTGAGAATATGGATTCATTTGCAACTGAAAGAAAATGTGGTTATTACAGCATTTTCAGAGTAGGCATGGATATTAAAGACCAAAATAATTATTGTTTTAACAGAATAAAACATTGTACATGTAAATTAAGCACTGAGTTTGTGAAATGTGGGGACAGTGCGTCTCAACTCCTGCCTGTAGGAGGGTCTGTCTTTCTTTGCATGGTCCTGAGTGGAAAGAGTTCACCTGTGGGTCACTTTTTTAAAGTAAAACTAAAGAATTCATAATCAGACCTGGAAGGCTTGCAGCTGTTGGAAAAAAAAAAAAAAAAGTAAATTTGTGGGTAACTCTAACAAAGTAGTCAATTTATGGTCAGAATTGAAGAGCCAAGATGTGAGGTTGACCAATCAGCATTTAGTACCTATGGTCCCTTTACAGACATCAGCAGATGTACCCTGTGTGACCTATAGACATTGTTGCTTACTGGGTTCAAATGTTCACCCTATGTTGGTGAAGAACCTAGTTAGTTTGGTTAGTTTGTTAAAAAATGGTTTGGTCAAAAAATAATCCAAGAATGGTTAGCCATTGTGCATTCCTCTGTTTGATTTTTAGTTTGTACCAAAAATGTGTTTTTTTTTTTTAAGACAATGTGTGCAAATGAGGGTCCACAGTGGTAAAAACTGACTTTCGGAGTGTGAGGTTGTATGCTTGTTGGTCTCTTGTGTCTTTGAATTGGTTTTGGGATGAACTTGCACTCTGGTTAAGTTGTATGCCACTTCTAATTTGGGACAAGCTTCTGCTCCCCTGAAACCCTGAACACGCTCTGGGTATGGAAAATGAAAGGATGAATGTGTATAAACAGTCTGCAAAACAATTCACATGCTGTTTAGGAAGTTTAAGGATTTTTTTTATCACCTAAATTTGCATCTACACTATCAACATACTGTATGTAAGTTACTTTCTTAGTTGTTCTCTATAGATCTTCATAGGAAAATGTGTTACCGCTACAGTATGCTATATCCAGCCACAGCACTGTTCATTCAACAGAATGATGAATTTGCACATCTGTCATTTGTCAGACTAAAATCCCTAAAGTCAGGGAAATGAACTGAGAGAGACATAATAAAATATGCATCCTTACTCTACATCAGAACTTCTAAACTTTTTGTTCCATAGAGAAAAGTTTCAAGCACAAAGCTCCTAAAAACAACCAGGTTTTGTCAAAAAAAATGTAACTTGGGTTCTAAACACACATCTGAGATCCATTACTGTTCACATTTCCCTCTTTATTTATTTATTTTTAATTTGATGGTTTTTTTTTGTTCCCTTAATTTTTATTTAGACCCAGTGATCATTTCATTCATCTGCTTTTCTTTTTGTGAATTTTCTCTTCTCCTGGCTGGACGAATCATAAATATTACTTTCAGAAAGAAGTTGAAAAAGAATGCCGTTTTCAAGAACATTTTGACATACCTTAAGAGGACAAAAAGCAATGGACCACAAATACAATAAATACAAATCCCTACAATGCCTTGGGACAGTTAAAATATCTGGTTGTCTGGGTTTTTTGTTTGTTTGTTTGTTAGTTTTTTTAAGAAGCATATAGGTAGTTTTTATGGTGGCTCATCTGATATGA